CCCAGGGTCAGGGTGCCCAGCCCCACAGGGAGCTGTGCAGGAGGCCGTCATGCCAGGGTTAGCAGGTGGGGGCAGGGAGGGTCCCGGGGCCGGGTTCGGGGCGCTCACTTGTACAGGGGGTTGCGGGTGTCGGGGTTGTCGTGGAAGGTGGAGTCGCTGAAGATGACCGACTTCTGGGCCTTGCAGCCCACAGGGAAGGTGTCACCCACCACAGCCCACTGCAGGGAGAGCATGGATGGGGCTGGAGCAGCTTTCCTACCCCTGGTCCTGGGCAGTTTCCCTGGGCAGTGTCCACTGGCAGCTTGGACTGGTTGGAGGGCTGGTGCGCGCTGTCCAATGGGCTCTCCCCTTTCAGGTCCTTTATTTTGAATCTGTGACCTCCCTTCCCGGTTTGCCTTTGACCTCGTCCCAAGACATCAATACCTGCTTTCTCAGTAGCCTTTTTGAGGGAGGCTTAGAGTCCTTCTTGGTGGGCACTGGCCCATCATCCCTTAACTTAGCAAATAGGCCTGTGTCACGCGGGGGCAGAGAGCGGAGCTGGATGGGAGATGACTGGGTCTCTCCCTTGCAGCCTGTAAGGTCCCCCTCCATACTGGTCCTCATCCTCGCTGCCTGTCTGCGCCTGCTCCAGCTCTTCTCTCTCCCGTTGGAGGTGCGGAGACCGAGGGAGGTTGCGCCCGGAGGGAGGAGTCGGTGTCCCCCTTCCAGAGCAGGCAGGGGAGCCAGCTCCTCTGTGCCCAGCACGTGCATCCTGCTTGGAGCAGACGCCCCCGGGGCCCCACCACTCACCTGCGGCTCCCCAGAGAGAGCAAGGATTTTCCCCAGGTCGTGCAGCAGCCCCACGAGATGAAACCAGTCTGCAAGGCAAGGGCGGGGGCAGCATCAGGCACGCACCCTGGGGAGCAGCTAGGCTACCTGGGGCTCCCCCCGTTCCCACCTTTGTCAGGGTGTGCCTTGCGGATGCCCTCAGCCGTCTGGTAGGCATGGTAGGAGTTGGGGAAGTCCACATCCGGGTCCGACTCGTCCACCAAGTCGTCCAGCAGGTCCAGGGCCTCCATGATGCTCAGGCGGCGATGGGAGCAGGCCCTGTACTCCGCGTGCTGGGGACGGCCTGGCTGTGAGCCCCTGACTCAAGCGCCAGGACTGGGGGG